TTCTGACATTGACATTGTGGTGTTCTCTCAGGTCTGATGAGTATTCCTGCTGCTGCATCAGTTCAGTCAGGAGGTGGAGAGATGCAATCACCTGGGGCCATTAGCCCTTCATTCCTCCCGCCCCCAAGTGGAAAAGTTCCAGGTCGCAAGAGGGGTCGTCCACCCCTGAAGAGGCACCCGGAATACCAGAGTCGCTATCCAGAATCCCTTCCACCCATTAAAGTGCCTAAGAAAAGAGGAAGGAAGCCTGGCTTTAAGGTCAGTAAATATCAGAGTGTTTGTGTGTTAATTTAAGTAGGCCACAAAGATAGGTCTTTCCATAGTTCAAAAGTGTCTGCCAATTGCATAACTGTCATCAAGTGGTGCAGTTAAATACATACTGGTGCGTGTGTAACACTTATTGTGAAATTATTTAGCTAGAGGAGCATAGTAATGTCTTGTGTGTTTGTATATAGGTAGGCCCATCTGATGTTGACTGTGAGAGAAGGAGGGGACAAGGTGGTTGTTCTTTGACTGATGTATCTGCAGTCTGCTGCTGCTGAGTTATTTTTAGCCGTGTGTCTAAGCACAGGCCTCATAATGTCTCTGCTGCTGATTTAAAGAGCTACACACTACCACAATGTGTGTGCATGTTAGGAGATTTGCAGTAAACATCCTTGCAAGACTTTTAAATAAAAAAAAGACATTTTCTATTGGATATACTCTGATGAGCTGAAACATTATGACCACCTGTCTAATATGCTGTTGGTCTTGTGCGTGCTGCCAAAACAGCGCCGACCTGCCGAGGCATGGACTTTTGCAAGACCCTTGAAGTTGTCCTGTGGCAGGGCTGGACTGGGGCTAAAATTCGGCCCTGGACCGAACACAACGATTGAACGAACATTTTATGGTCCTATCGCCTTGCACAGACGACATATATTTATACAAATACATTTAGACCATTTAACAGAGTGATTGCTATCAGGATATGAGGAGACTTTCAACCAGCATAACAAAAAATGTTTCTGTGTATAATCACCAATGGCACCTTTATTATAGCATTTTTGATCCTATATTTTGAGCTAGGATGCAGTAAAGTAAATTTACTGATATAAAATTCAATTGTGTCATCATTTGGCCCTCGTTAAAGTCGCTTAGATCTCTCTTCCTGTCCATTTCTCCTGCATCCAATCCAACACATCGATTATGAGAACTGATTGTTTGCTTCCCATCTAATCTACCTAGACATTAATAAGTGGACCTGTTAGGAAATGATCAATGATATTCACTTGTGACTGATCATAAAGTTTTGGCTCATCAGTGTATATCAGATATAGTTTGTTATTGTTTACCTTATTGTATTTGTAGTTGTTATAAAACATAATATAAAAATGACATAAATATATGTTTAATAAATATCTTCATATATTTTTATGAATCAGTTATAGACCATTTCACAAGATGTAAACAACGCTGGTCCAGAAGCACTTCCTGTTTCAGTTTTTTAACACTACATAAAAGCTGGGATAAAATACAACCAACAGAACATATAAAACTGAATCAAAAAGTTAAACAAACATCTTTAAGATGTTTTCTTTACATGTGAAATAAAGAAAACGGTTACAGGAAGTGTTTCTGGACCAGTGTTGTTTACATCTTGTGAAATGGTCTATATATAATGATAATACTAATATAAATATATATTTTTTTCAGCTGAAGTCTCGCTTGATGACTCCCCTGGCTATCTCTCCTCCCAGCAGCACCCCAGAGCCAGACATGAGCTCAATCCCCCAGGACGCAGCTACTATCCCCCACTCTGCCACCCCGCAGGTCCTCACAGGTAACAAACACACACATTCGTAGACTACCAGTTCCACTATCTGCAGTCTGAAGTATTGCCATGCCAATCCCAGAAACTAGTAACCAGGCCTAACTATTAAGGGAATAATAAAATGTGAGCATTAGAAGAATCACTGTCCTCAGAGGAGTCATATTATGACTCTCTGCCATCTCATTCTTTTTTTAGTGCCCAGTAGGGACTGTAACTCTATCGGAAATATGATAACTGTTATTTTTTATCAAAATTATATGATGGGATGTGCGTCTCAGGGGTGAGAGAAGACCACCAACACTGTCTTTATAACAAGACCAGATATTTTTTCCTTTTCTGTTATTGAAAGTGATAGTTTTTCAGAAATGAAAATGTTGTCATCATTTACTCTCCATCAAGTTGTTCCAAACCTATATACATTTATTTTTTTCTGCTGAACACAAAAGAAGATTTTGATGAATATGTTTAATCAAACAGTTGATGGACCCCATTGACTTCCATAGTATGGAAAAAGAGTCAATGTGGTCCATCCGACATTCAAAATATTTTCTTTTGTGTTCAACATACATATTTGGGACAAATTGAGGGTGAGTAAATTATGACAGAATTCTCATGTTTTGGGGAGCTATCCAAATAGGCAACATCTCTTCCAATGGAAAATTATGAAGATGTCAATGGATTGTAAGATTTTTTTAAAATGTGATTTATTCCTGTCATGGCAGAGCTTAAAGGGATAGTTCAGCCAAAAATGATAATTAGCCCATGATTTACTCACCCTGAAGCCATCCTAGGTTTGTATGACTTACTTCATTAAGATGAATACAAACAGAGTTATATAAAAATTGTCCTGGCTCTTCCAAGCTTTATACTGGCAGTGAATGGCTGTCTGTCTTTGGAAGTCCATCAAAGCGTATCTATTCATGATTAAAGAGCTCCATCTGAAGTGAAGCAATGCGTCCGTGTAAGAAAAATGTCCATATTTAAAACTTTATTGACTAAAATAACTGGCTTCTGGCAGACAGACGTAACTTGTGTATGGACTTCCAAAGTCATCCAGTCATTCACTCCCATTATCAAGCTTGGAAGAGCCAGGACAATTTTTAATATAACTCTGATTGTATTCGTCTGAAATTCGTCTGGATTGCTTCAGGGTGAGTAAATCATGGCTAATTTTCATTTTTGAGTGTACTATCCCTTTAATATGCCATAATAAGCTGATTTGGTGCTCAAGAAACATTTCTTATCAGTATTAATGTTAAAAAACAGCTGTTTAATATTTTTGTGAAAATTGGATTTTTGGAATTGTGGTCGTTTTTTTTTTTTTTCAGGATACTGTAATGAATAGGGAGTTCAAAACAAAAAACAACAGCATTTATTTGGAATAGAAATATTTTGTAACATATAAAAATGAATGCAAGTACAAATGAAGCATGCAACCATTGTTGTGTCATTTGTGATAAGACTTAAAAATAGATCTGTCAATCCTGAACTCAGTATGTGTGAATGTAGCAAGTAAAGATTTCATACGGCACAGACACACTTAATCTTTGGGGTCAGGGCCCCTCAGTCCATATGGTCGGCCCATCTAATTCGGCAATAACATCCATGACTAGAAGGAAAGGGAACTGAGAGAAAAGAGTAGTTACATCTCTTATTTCAAAGGTTAATAGGTGTGAAAGTCTCAAGGGACATTATTGAGGAACCTGATGGCTCTAGCCTTAGATGCATTATCATCCAATTTATCTCTTCATTACAATGGAGAGATCAGTTCTGTTCTGCTATATTGCCTTTTTAAACATACTATTTTTAAAATATGAGCTTAGAATTAATTCACATCACAACTTTAGCATGTAAACTTTCAATTCTGCCATTCGAAATGAATTAAGACTGCATCTCAATGCTGTTCAAGGTCTACTTTAAACATGAGAAGTTGTGACGGTATGGCTGAACTCCATCTTGAGTTCTTAAAGCTTAATCCGTTTGCTGTAGGGAGCAGTTGCTGAACAAGAGGCTTTTGTCTGCCCACCAGGTTTCTAGACTTTAATTCTTTTTGCAATGGAAAAGTCATGCTCTCTTTTGGTCCCTCTCCTATATTTCAACAACCATGTTCATTTTGTTCAGATTCATGCCTTTGTGAAATGTTTGACACCAGCATTTTGTCCTCAATTCTTTTAAGAAGTTTGACAAAGCACCTCGGTGCTCGGAAACCTGCGTTGCGATGTGAGGGATGTCTGTGTGGGTGATACCGAGGGAGTTGTTGTGGGGGTCATGACCTTAATGACCTCAGGTCATTGTTAACTGCTTTGGTGTTTTGTTTTATTTGGAAAACGCGTTTGTATATGACTGCTTGCAATTAAATTATATTGCCTTTCAATAGTGTGGTAAATTTTCACTGTCTGTAAGCCTACATGTCTGGCATGTCGGTAATCTTGCTATTGGTTATCTATTTTAAGGCTTTGTGTGTTATCTCTGTACTCTGTACACTTGCTGTTCATTGACTTTATCCTGTTACACATTAAGCCTAGTTCACACTACATGATTTTAAAATGTTGGGCTGAACTGTGCAGTTCACACTACATGACTTGCTCTCAGTGAAATCATGAGTGTTCAAGTTGTTTAGCTGTTCACACCACACAACACAACGTGATTGATCCACAACAGGAGGTAACTCACTACACGAGTTAACAACGCACTACATAGAGATACAAGCACGATCGGATGATAAGAGCATATCATTTGTGACTCAATGAGAGCTGTTTCAGTACTATAGTATACGGTCTAAATCCTGAAAATAATCAAACAAATAACGAGTTGACAACAACACGATTCTATCTGGTCTAGAAACCATGTTTTGTAACGAAAAACCACGCAATAAAACGAACCAGAAATGACGCGAAACTACAGAGAAGAACACAACACGCGAATATGAACGTCAGACAGAAACTAGTGCTGCACACTGTTTGCTCGACGATCTGCTCTGAGAAAAAAAAATGCAAAAAAGAAAAAGTAAGATTTACCTGGTGTCCTCAACCCATGCGTTGCTATGATTGGCTGTACTCATGACATCACTGAGATTGAGTCGCGCGACTGCTCGAGATATCTAGCAGGCTAGATATTTTTCTGAGCTCGGTGACCTGTCTGCGAGCTGTCTGCGAGCTGTCTTTGATGCGTTGTTGGCTCTTTCACACTAACGGATTGGCGAGCGTTAATCGTCCGCTAATCGCCCGCGATTTGCACGCGATAACACCCTGACTTGTCGGCGACTCAACGATTTGCAAATCGGGCTTAAATCGGGCTTAAAATCACGTAGTGTGAACTAGGCTTTATCAAACACAGCACAGGCTTCTTCTTGAGATTATTTTAGGTGTGTGTCTGTGTCTGACTCCTGGTCATGGTGCTTCTAGATGACAGACGACGAAGGAAATCCCTTAGCATGGCAGTCTGTCAGATTAAAGCATCCTTATGCTGCAGACGAGCGAGGGAAGTCAGTGGGGACAGATTGTGTGGGTGGAAATGGGAGGGGGACGAGTGATTGGTGGATTCCCACACACACACACTCTCTCTCTTACTCTCTTTTTATTTCTGACCTGTATTGTTTTTGTTGATATTAAATGCTCATGCCAGTATTTTTCCTAGTTTGCAAGTCACTTGGGATAAATAAATGTATAGAAATGGAAATGTTTCTTTTTTATTTAGGGTAATCAAAACATTATTGGCTCTGGTTGGCTCATAAAACCGCAGATGCCTTTTACGTGTGATTTACAGTATGTGATTTAGTTTAATGGCATTATTTTAAGAAGAGTACATAGGTTTAATTTTGATAAATAATTCCTTTGCTATTACTTAAACGAGATTGAAGCACAAGATTGAGAGTTTTTTTTTAAATTTATTTATTTCTATGTTGTTCCTCCTTTGTTGCCCTCTCTTTCTTTTATTGCTCGTCTCTTGGGTCTCATGACGATAATCTATAAATGTGGCCTGAAATGTTTGAAGATTCCTTGACAGATATCACAAGCCATTTTGTAGTGTCAATAAGGAAAACATGCACTGTGTGCCAATATGTATGTGAATGTTTTATAATTACATGTAGGCATTGTCTTTATAGATCATGGATTCATTTTTTAAATACTGTGGTGATGTTGTTAGTGCTATTGATTTTTGCTTTGCTTTTAAAATGACTTATTAACTTAAAGGAATGGTGCAATTAAAAATGAAAATTGTCTCATTTAATTTACTTGCCCTCAAGTTGTTTTAAACCTGTATGAATTTCTTTCTTCTGCTGAACACTAAAGATATTTTGAAGAATTTCGGTACCCAAATAGTTGATGGGCCTCATTAACTTCCATAGTATTTCCTACTGTGGAAGTCAATGGGGTACATCCACTGCCTGGTTACCAACATGTTGCTCAACAACTTGAGGGTGAGTAAATGATGACAGAATTTTCATTTTAAGTAAACTATTCCTTTAAGCAGTAGTATAACCTTATATTTTCAGTACATAATGCAAAAACATCTCAAAAGCAAGAACAGAACAAAACCAACGAATTACCCTCCATTAGCATTCCAAGACCTAGTCAGATCATAACATGAACTGAGAAAAAAAAAAAATGCAAATACAGTAGTTTCATATTGTGCTTATTCCATTAAAAATGCTTGCTGAAAGCAGATATTGCTAATTTTAAAATCTCTCTATTTTTTTTCTCTCTGTCCATTTTATTCCAGTGTGTATCTACGTGAATAAGCAGGTGAACACGGGTCCTAACCTGGACAGGCAGAAGGTGCTGCAGCTGCCGGATCACTTGGGTCCCGCCAGGCCCTCTGTGGTGCTCCAGCAGGCGGTGCAGGGCTGCATCGACAGCGCGTTTCAACAGAAAGCTGTCTTCACCTTGCTTACAGAGGGCTACGGAGGAGAAAAGATCTCAGGTTCATTTGCATAGCCACCCTAATGCGTGCCTCCATTCTGATTCTCATGTCTACTGTAAATACATATATGCACTACTGTTGCACACTACAGTATGTAAACATGATTGACGTGAGGTTGAGAATTTCAGACTCGGTGTGTAAGGACCTTTACTCTAACGGTATTTACAACAGTGTGCAATTTACTTGAATTTAAACACTCTTTCTTTGTCTTCATCAGCCACCTTTGATGGTAAACAGCATCTGTTAAGTTTGCCAGTGGTCAACAGTGTAGGTTATGTTCTACGCTTCCTTAAGAAGTTGTGCCGAAGCCTGATGTGTGAGAACCTCTTCAGTGACCAGCCCATCGCTCCTTCATCGTCCCCCTCGTCCTCTTCCTCATTCCACACTGAAAAGCACTCAGACGGACAGCCCAAGTCAAGTGCGTGCTCATCAAGCTTTGTTATTCTACCCTTTTTTTTTTAAAATACTATAGCTGTATTTCCATCTATCTACACAGCCTGCATGGTTGAAGTAATGTTTTCTATATTAGACAATTTTTGGTTTTGTCTATTTTTGGTTTGGATGATTTGTAATATGGCTGTTTGATTGGATTTGCACTCTTTTCTGTCTCTGTCCAAATATGACCTTCTGAAAATGCAGAGGAGGCCTTTAGTGCAAGCTGAGCTGTTTAAGTGGCAGTGAAAGGTTGAGTGCCTCTGTGAGTGGCCTGTGGTTTGAGTGTTTGAGTTCTGCTGGCTCCACCTCTCTCTCTCTCTCTCTATCTCTCTTTTCCCCCTGTGAATGTGGTTTGGGAGCTCTAGAGATTAGAGCATTAACTTCAGTATGACAATATCACACCGCTCAGCTACATAGGCAAAGGCTGTGTTGTGACTTAATCCCATGTCAATGGTTAACGTGGTTAAGAGAGGAGAGCCTACATTACTCGTCAACACTGTATGTTTATCAGTGTTTCCCACAGATGGCAGTGTTTGCAGCTACCTATACTTCCTATATATATATATGTACTATTTAATAATTTAATTCTTCAGGTTTAAATATGTATGTATGTATGTATGTAGAGTCAGACATGACAAAGAATTCAGAAAGTTTATTTATTGAAGAATTCATCAGACTAATTTAATCTCATAACTGCATTTATGTAATTCATTAAAATAATGAATTTCTTAAGGAATTATGATTTACACTTTCATGAATCAGACTACACTAGTCATTTTGTATGTTTGCTTTTTAATGCAGAAAAACATAAAATTTGCATAGCATTTGTATATAATTTGGTTTGGATGAATCCATATGGGCCAATCTGCACTCAAGAAAGCAATAATTATCCTGAGCCAAATGACATGCATGCTTAACATGCATTATTTTCCCTAAATTGCTTTCCTTTTTGTGCAGCAGACTCGATGGTGGATGATTACCATGGAGATTCAATGGACCCCAAGCGGTATTCTGTTGACCCCAGCGACTCTGCTTTTGGAGCGATGTCCTCACCGTACACGGCGAGTAAACCTGCATATGGTTTTCGTTCTGGCCCCGTCTACTCTGGAGGTGTGTGCAGGCAGGCAGCCAGTCCCAGCACATTCCAGGAAGGAAACAGAAGTGGTAAGAAAGAGAAAATTAACACTTATACAATAAAGCAGCAAAAGAGTTTCTGCACTACTTTAAAACCATGTTAATCAAATGAGATGTATGTGAGAAGATACCAAGAGTTAATAAAAACACTGAAAACTAAATAGTATATATAGTACCAATTGTTCTCAAGTAAGGGAGGTTTGGAGCCCATTAGGAGGTCTCAAGATGACTTAAAATTTAAACAACATAAAATCCAGATATTTCTTCTTCTTTTTTTCTTTTTTTTTTGTCTTAGAAGAACCAGTTTCTTGGAAATTTTTATTTTAAAGTGTGATTTCTAGACCAGGAAATGGTTTTCTAATTATGCTAAGCTCTAAAATAATTTATGGGTAAAAATTGTGACATTATATACATATAGTATATATAACTCCTTATTAGGATATTCACTTATATAGTGAATCACAAACAACTGGAAAACTCATTGGGGCCTTCAAAAATGGTTGTGGTCAGTGAGGGCCTTGGAGTCAAAAAGGTTGATAACCACATATACTGCATATATGATTTTGGTAACACTTCCTATGAAGCCTGCATTTTTAATGCATTATAAGGGTATACTTAATGCATTATAATGCATGCATAATGTCTTATAAACAACTTTATATAATGTGTTGTATCATCTGATAAATAACCATTACAATAGTTACAACAATACATTATATTTTTGGTTCTAACTTTAAGAGTATAATGCATTATTACACCAGATAAAGTCTGTATTTGTAATGCATCAAACTGGAATTCTTAATGCATTATAAGGCACATATTTTGCCTTATTAAAAAAAAAAAAAACTAATGTGTTTGTACCCTTAAAATTTATAACATATTATAAGGTTGTTTGTTAGGCATTATGCTTGTATTATAAAGCATTAAGAATACCCTTAAAATGCATTGTAAATACGGGTTTCATAGAACGTGTTACCAATATGTCTAGCTTCAACCAAGAATAATAATCCTAGCCCTGTCTGAATCTGATTTCTCTCTATCTAGCCTACAGTCCATCCCCAGATGGAGGGGAGGCGAAGCCCCCACCCAGTAAGGATCCATCCAGGTGGAGCGTGGATGAGGTGGTGTGGTTTATCAAAGATGCAGATCCTCAAGCGCTGGGCCCTCACGTGGATCTCTTCCGAAAACATGTGAGTTTGACTGACACATTTATTTACAAGTGGCAAACAAACACCATGTGTTGAACATGTTATCAGATAACAAATCCCTGTGTGGGTAGCATTAGGTTAGTTTCAAGTTAGAAAACCAGATATAATCATCTGTGTGCTTTACAACTCAAGTTTTCACAATCATTTCAAGTTCACATAATTGTTGATATAACCACCTGAGCTGAATGTTAAATGGAAAAGATTTCAAATCTTTGAACATTGCTTATTAAAAACAGAACAAAAAGCAAAGTACAATTAAAACCATCTAATAAAATTGAATTTCACTCTTCCAAATAGGGCCGCACAATTAAAGTGCAAAAAAGGCTGTGATTTAATTAATTATGGAAATACGTCCATCTCAGTATGTGCTCTGAGTTTGGTGGTTTGTCATGTGAATTGTAATTGGAAAGCCTGCAGGTTCACTTCAGCTTCACATTATGTAATTCGTCACGTTTGCGACAAGCGAAGAAATAGAGGGGGATATTATAGAAATTATTATTATTATTATAATAGAAATATAGATTATTATAATATCATCCAGGTAAAAGGAGCAGTTCAAGTCGGAGTAAGTGCAGCAAAAGCATTCTGCAATCACCGTTTGTACCATTACTACTTCTGTGTTAAGCTCTGCTTCAACTCTGAACTGCTAACACTGTTAAATCTAATGCAGTTTTTGGGCCGATTTTTGTGCATGTGTTTTTCCAACTCTGAATGTTCTAATATCCTCAATTGTTAAACGCAGTAAAACGTTGTTTCATGTGTACAGTAAGCATTCTGTTGTGGACATTGTGATTACTTCTTCAGGAGATTGATGGGGATGCTCTTCTTCTCCTGAAGAGTGACATGATCATGAAGTACCTGGGACTCAAACTGGGCCCGGCTCTCAAGCTCTGCTACCACATTGACAAGCTAAAACAGAACAAGTTCTGACCGGTCTCTGCACCTTACACACACACAGATGGATTCACTCACAGTATTTACTCTCACTCTCATTTGTTGTAGTACTGGACGTTTTTATTGCCCATTCTTTGGTCATTCAAGGACAAGCACCAGAGCATTGTTTTTTACTTGTGTGGTATGTCTGCCTGTATATTGGGGCATTTCACTGACCGGAACATTTGCTTGTTCTAATTTTAAGTGTGCAAGACTTTTATTGCTTACTTGATTGATATTTGAACACTGCTCTAATCAAAAGGCAAGTCATCTCAGCTGCTTTCTGGGATTTGAGTTTTTATCGTCAAGTGAGAGTGCGGATTAATTACAACTGTAAATTATCCTTCAAATGAACGGAGTTGAAACAAACGTATTAGGTCACAGGCAAACCCGCTCCCATTTTTACAGAGCCATGGACTGTGACTAAAACCCTGTGAACTTCAGCCACCTGCTGGTGAAGTGGAGTCACTGCAACTTTGTGACACTTTACCCCACATTTCTAACCAGACATTCAGCTTCTTATTTTGCGGAGAGCTACTTCGAAGGCCGATACCCTGGGAGAACCTAACTTACAGAATTCAGCATTGTGCTTTTCGTCTAAACAGATACAGTGTGCATACAGTCTTGGCAGGGTACAATTATGAACAGTTTCACTTTGCAACCAGCAAATAACAGGCACAAATGCAACTCAGAACTAAACAGGATACACTACAAGGCAGTTACTGCTTCAGTAAAAATGGTGCATTACAAACCTAGTAATTCACACCAGGTGCTGTTCTCAACCAGCAGGTCACATTTAACTAAAAGCAACTATACTGGTATTATACATTTCATACTGTGGACCAAATACACTGCAATTCTCATCAGTCCAAAAATGTCTTGTTTTTCTCTCTTTTCGGAGCAGAGGCCTCATATTAAAAAGCTGCTCTTGATATTACATAAATGTCAACTTGTGATTTACTTACAAAATGCGTAGCACTTTACAATAAGGTTTAATATATTTAATACATTGGGTATAATGAACTGTGATATTTATGTCTAGAACTTTGATTAGGTTAAAAATAATTTCTATATATTGCTGTCCAAAATTATTTTATTTAGCAAGGATGCATTTAATTGATCCAATAATAAAAAGTGAAAAGTAAACACTTAAATTATTACCAAAAAAATTATATTTTAAATCAATTAAAATACATTTTAGTAAGTTTCAATTCATCAAAGAATCCTGAAAAGGGTCACTGTTTCCACAAAAATATTAAGCTGCACTTTTTTTCCAACATTGATCATAAAAAGAAATGCTTCATGAGCACCAAATTAGCATGCAGACTGGAGTAATGATGTGGAAAATTCAGATTGTCCATCACATAAATGTATAACATTTTAAAATGTATTAAAATAGAAAACAGTTGTTTTAAATTGTAATAATATTTCACAATATACATGCAATCTTGGTGAATTAACCTAGATTTTTTGTTGGTTTATTGTTAGTTCACGATACCTAATGCATTAACAAATCGAAACAAATTGAACTTTATTGTAGCGTTGTCTCACATTTTGTAGGCATGTTTCAACCAATTTTTTTTTAAGTTGTGTAAATTGTCTTTATTTCACTAAAACTTTGACTGTGGATTAGACGTGGATTTTCTTTCAGAAATGTACAGTGTATACGTGCACGCAAGCTACTTCTCTGATCTAATGTTATTTTAACAGTTACATTTGAGCTAGGTTTCAAACAATTACTGCAGTTTGCTTTCTTGTGTGAAAAATGTGTGAAAAGAGTCATTTTAATCTCCTGAGGCATTTCAGGAAATTGTTTTAATATTTTTATTATCCTTTTTTTTTTATCATCATTTTCTTTTTTTAATATATATATTTTTTTATTTAATTTTTTTGCACAAATGGCATTCAGAATTGCTGTATTGCTTTTCAGGTGAACCTAAAGGGATAGTTCTGTCATATTTTCTTTACCCTCATGTCATTCCAGACATGTATAGATTCCACACAATAAATGAAGTCATACAGGTTTGGAACGATGAGTAAATGATGACAGAATTTTTTTAATTTTTGTACGAACTATCCCTTTAAGTCTGCCCTGATGATGTCATACATCTCCCAAAGTGGATTACACCCAAGTGTACAACATTTCTGTATCTGCAACCATGTGTAAATATAATAATTTATGTAGTAGCCACAGATAAAATTTACAATTTCAAAAGTAAAAGAGCAAATTAACTAAAACAGTATAGATTCAATCATCCGATGAACACATAGAGCTTTAACATGTAACCAGCTTTGCTGTGCTAGACTTCATTGTTGTACGATCTGCCTCTTAAAGCGACTGCTATGCTAACTTGAGCATCTGTACATAATCATTGTCTATAATTTTTTTTATCAGGGAGGCTGTTTAAGTGGTCTGTTTTTCCCCCTTTTATCTTTTTTTTTCCAAGTAGCACCAGTTGTCCTGGGTTTAATAGCTTTCTCAATGAAAAATGTGTAAGAGGAAAATCATAAAAAATAGTGACACCAGGAAAAAAGGGAATTAATCAGTGAGCTCTTAAATCTGGTGCTACTTTTAGAGGTCATGGTTCTTTATAAGTGAATCTACTGATTTGAAAAGAAGTGTATTAATTTATTTTTATTTTTTTATGAACCATCTCTTCTGATTGGTTGGAAAAAGTTCAAAAATGAACAAGGGATTGGGTTTTAACACAAGAGACCCAAGATTATAGAAATATATGATCCATGTCTGATCTTATATTAGCTTTAAAAGCAGACATTTTTTTAAAATTTCCACTCATGTACTCAAACAGTGGGAATATCTTGTTGGTTTTAAAAGCCCTTTAACTGAGTAATAGCAGCACTGAGCTTTTAAATATGTTTGCAAGCACTCTTTTTTTATGGCCGCACTTAACTAAAATCCTAATTCATGTAGGAAGCTTTGACACTTTCATAACAATCTTTCATAATGTTTTGGACTGTATGATTTCGCACAGATATTCTGCTGACATTGACAAGCACTGATGTTCCTGGCAAGATATTACCAATGTTTGTGTCAGGAATATGAGTGGGCTTTTATGGATAATCTATTATTTATTTCAGTTCTGGATCATTTTGTGTGCATTCATACGTATGTTACGTTTGCGTTTGCCTCTGCACCATGTCATTCATTGTCATTTTTGATATAACGGAAAATGTAAGTGTACATTTATGAATGCTGCTCTCGATGATAGTCCCATGTAAGACTGTTTAAATTTGTCAGCTCACAAAAGAGTTTTAATGGAAAAGGGGGGAATTCAACACAGACCATTCATGTTGGTGCTATAATATGACTGTGTATTTATCGAATAATGATTTTATGCATACAATTTTATGGTTGATTTACTTTATTTCTTCAGAATAGGCTTCAGTGTTGTGAACTCTCGTGACTGACGACAGGCTCTGCATTGCGTGTCTGTTTGTGAGGTTAATATAGAGCATTATGAAAGAGTCAGAATAAAGCATTATGAGCACCCTATACTGAACTCCATTTGTAAATATATATGTGGCTATGGTGCAGGGATGATTTTTCCCTCTTTTAGCCTTAATTGAAAACATTTTCGTAATGATACCATAGAAGAACAACTTCCATTGAGGTGAGAGTAGGTGCTCCTACATCTACAAACACAGATATGCCTCAACAAACTGTGAAAGCGAAAGATAAATACGCTTCGATTAACCCTTGATAGACCCATGTACGGATCATGCGGCCTTAAAGCAGACAATGTCAATTGGCTAGATTAAAGCTGCAGAAAAAAATTAAAACAAATGACAATTTGTTATTCACATGTCTCAAATGATAAAGAAAGCAACTCGTATAACAAAATCATCCCAAACATTGATTGATCTTATATTTACAAATAGAGAAGAACGAATTGCAAAATCCTATAACCCGATAACTGGTCTATCTGACCACAATCTTACTTTGATAGTCAGGACTGGAGGTTATCAAAAACTTCTAATAGAATTGATATCAATTCAGGGGCTTCCGCTTCATATATTGCAAAAAGAGACTTGGAATTGTTTTATAATGAAATAAAACAAATTCAATACAGTCAGTGGCAAAAATGACAGCAAGTAATGACAGTCAGCAAGTAATGACTTTATGATAGCCTTTAGTGATCTCCTATCGAAATATTCCAAGGAATCATCTCGGAAGATCAAAAGTAAACCATCTATTCCCTGGATGAGGAGGGAATAGATGCGCCACTTAAAAAGTCTTTGAAACAGGCCTTTTGACAGATTCGCTTTTGTACAAGGAGCTCAGCAACAAAGTTACACTGTTTCGAAAACTAAAGCACGTTTTTTTATCAACTTAATTGAACAAGCAAAGGAAACATTAAAAGACTTTGGCAAACCATTGATAAAGTAACTGGTTGGAAGAGTTGTATCAGTCAAAGAACTAGAAATACAAGATTGAAATAATGTACGGGCATCTGATTGCATTGATTTATGTACGAGTTCTGATTGTATTTTATACGAACAAAACATATAAATTTTAAATTGGTTAATGAATTTGAAATAAAGAAAATGTTACAATCATTGACAAATTGTAAAAGTAAAGATATTTGGGGAATGGACAATACTCTTCTTTAAAAAACATAAATACATTTTTGTAACTCCTATCACATATCTGATAAACAAATCAATAGAAGAGAATCCCCCCCCCCCATGCTTTTAAAACCGCAGTAATCAATCCAGTATTCAAATTGGGGGACAGGCATGAGGTCTGCAATTACAGGCCAATTAGCATACTTCCTGTTGTCTCAAAGATTGCAGAGAAAGTAATTGCGGAGCAAATAAAAGAACACTAAAACAAAAATAATAGGTTACATCCCATGCAATTTGGATATAGAGCACCATTCCACCGAAACTGCATTTTGTTACTTTATTGAGGTGGTGAAGGTAAAGCTGGAAAAGGGCAGGGTCGTGGTCGCTGTGATTTTGGATCTAAGCAAGGCGTTTCACATGGTCAACCACTCTGTGTTACTAAGGAAGCTGACTATAATTTGTCTCTTAAGTGCTCTGCAGTGAGTCATATCTCAGTGACCGTGTCCAGTGCGTAAGAGTCAAAAGTAAGTTATCAACATCTAAAGCTAATGACATGGGTGTTCCACAAGGCTCTGTTCTTAGGCCATTGCTGTTCGCGCTTTACATAAATGATCTTCCTTCGGTGTGCGGTGAGGTGGACATGCAAATGTACGCGGATGGTACTGTAGTGTACATGCATGGAAGTGATGCGACAAGTGTAGCTAACAAACTAGCCAATGTTATGGGAAACTTCTTAAATTGGCTTTCCTCTGCCTCGCTTTACTGAATGTAAATAAAACAGTAGCAAGCAATGTATTTTCCCAAACCCAACGACTGAAGTCCTCGTTTCCATGCATTTATGCAAATCAGAGTCCAATCAAAGTAGTAAAGGAATTTAAATTTCTAGGTCTTGTTTTTGATTCAACTTTTACTTTAAAAAAACTTGTTAGGAAAATGTGCAGCACGCTAAAATACACTTTGTCTGCTTTTAGACATATTAGGAATACATTGACTCATGATGCTGCAAAAATTTACATGGAGGCAATGATAATTCCTCGTATTAGTTATTGTATTTCTTGTTGGTCACAGACGAGTGAAACGGCAATACAACCTTTAAAATCTTTATATAATCAAGCTGTTAAAGTATTTGACAAAAAACACTGAGATATAATCAGTCTGATTCTTGAAAAATACAGCATGTTAAACTTTGATAATATAATTGTGTAATAATATGCGCCTCCTCCCCTGAAAACATTTGTCCAGTTTTGTTCTGAACAGATGAATAGGAGTAACAGGTCTATGTGTTGCAATGATTGCAGACTGCCTAAACGTGGTTCGACCTTTGCACAGACGGCCTTCTCGTTTAAAGGCATCAAAGAATGGAACAAACTCCCACAGAGTCTGAAACTTACCGACTTGGAGGATTTTTCTCACAATACAAGGAAAGTGCTATTGGAAAACCAGTCGTGTCAGCATAGATAATTGTGTACATACAGTAAATATGACTTTTAGTGATGTTTTATTGCAGTAATTTTGGTATTATTTACTTGGACTGATAAGTGTAATGGGGAATGGTTGAATGAATGAATTAATAGTTGTTAGAGTGACTAATTATATTTTAGATTGTATATTTTGTGTTGTAATTCACCTGCTCAGGGACTACAGAAGGAAATAGCTTAAGCTAAATCTGGTGCACAGCATCTTTAATTAATGTTTTTGCACATTGTCCCTGTTGAAATAAAGAAAAGAAAAAAACAAGAACCATTTTGGGTTCACCAAAGAACCTTTCAGTAAACGGATCGTAAATTAACCTTTTTTTTTTTCTAATGTAAAGAACATTTGAATAATCTGAAAGAATGTTTTCAATTAAAAGGACCGAAAGTGCAATGGAAAGGTTCCAGGGAAATAATTTCTTCATAAAGAACCTTTTATTTTTAAGAGTGTATGTCACCGTTTGTATTTCCTATAACTCGGTAGCCAGAACATGCATTCAAATGTTGCTCCATGCTCAAGGCCATTCTTAAACTTTTCAAATAGTCATTTGTAGACTTCAGAGCATGTAGAATATTCTAACAATTCCCCAACTTCATACATCTTCATACACAATATAGCAATTTGTGGTATGTGGCAGTTTTCCAAATTCAAGGTAATGCCAGGTTTCATTGGACAAACAATTTTTTTATATACTGTCCAAATGTGTATTCATGATCATCTCAGCCATCCAATCTTGCCATCAACTGAGGCAAAGAACAATTTGACATTTGTGATGCGTGTTCATGATAAAAAGAAAGGAAAACATAATAGGGGAATACTTAAGCAAGCTAATCTTAACCCTATATTAGGGAATAGATGTGCAATTGAAAAAAAAATGAAAAGAGAATAATAAACCCATTTTGAAGTGGAAAAATAAATAAACATAAGTTAAAAATATCTATTAAATGTTAAAAAATAATAGTTAAATGTAAAGGTAAAATAAACTAATAATGCCAATTTGCATAAATAGGTTTTTAAAATGGTTTATTTTGAAACGTTTTGTTCATGCAAATACACACTTGTAAAAATGTTTTATTTAATTTTAATTAATACATTTATTAGTGGCAATCCTAGTCCTCCTTATAATGACACTTCTGTTACACATTGAAAATCTAAATATTACCTATCAAACCTGTACTTTTGTGATGTGCTGACTTTCTTCTACATATAGGTGGCACTATTGTGTCTTAAATGTGCTGTATGTAAAAACAGCATGAAAACAAAATATTGGCTAATATATCACACTTTACTCCCTCACCTCCAGTTTATAAATGGCCCATGATGTGTTTTGGAATATTTATTTCTGGAAATAAAGACCACCCCAATCGTTAATAAGTGTCATAATCTGAAATATTTATCAGATTTTGTGCAATTATTTTGCATAGAATTTAAATCCATCCATACCTGACGATAATCAAATATCTTTTTTTTTTTTTTTTTTTGCCTGGCTTCTCTGGCAGGACAGAGTGTAATAGATACGAGTTGATATTCACCGCTTGTTTTCATGGCAGGGGGGTTTTAACCTCAGTGCTACATAAAGAATGCACAGCATGAGTGCACTCTGTAGTTATTTTTTCACTTAATGTTTTATTATTGTCTGTTTATTTTGAGGCTGTTATTTTGATGGCATCAAAGAGCACCCACGCACAAGAAAAAGATTACAAGAATCAGGGAGGGCAGGTCAGGCTCGCTCTATTCTTTTTGAAACTGGAGTGTCCTTAGAATACAGATGCAACTGAAATGAATGTGTATCATGCTGAAGGGAAAGCCCTCAAAAGCTTCTCAACATGCAACAGTACAACACCAAACAACACTACCCCACCCCCACCAAATAAAACTCAATGTGCCTTTGGCCAAGTGTTTCTGAACAGAAAACCAAATATAGAGGCTAGAGATTCCGGAGAAGCTCTTAAATTAATGTTGAAAAGATAAAATGTGCACCCCAAAGGCATGAAGAAAAATCCATTTTTATAGGATATTGCAGAAAGCGCATATGTAAGGGATAGCTGTGCAATAAAAAAAATGTAATGCACAACGTGAAGGCAAAGAACCGCCCAACGCGAAGTGCATTAAAATAATTTGCATTATGCCACGTTTACTATGGTCATTTGGTTTGACCATGGTATACCATCGGTTGGTGTGTCATTGGTGAAGAATGCATGACAGTGCATTAATGGTGATAAAACGCACTTGGAATCTGTGCATAAAATGGTTTTATTGCACACCTTAATACACTATTCAGTCAGACCATGGTATAATATAGAATATTCCCTTTCCCACCATTGGATATGTAAACATAACCTCTCATAGAATGATAGTGGAAATGTATATTTCCAGTTTGTGTGCTTGATAAGACAATATTAGAAAGAGTGTGAGTGTGTGTTAAAGCTTTATTATGTGACAGCTATCACCTATTGGACATCTATCTATCTATCCTTCAATCTATCCATCTATCTGTCTGTCTGTCTACAAACAGCTTTATAGTTAAAAACTAGTTTTATATATTTGAGCATCAATTTATTTAAATTTTTCTTTCTTACATTCATATTTGTACTTATTTCTGTTTCCTGTTTGGTGTCTCAACTCAAATTCAGGAACTGAATTGTAATTTTAAAAAGTGATGTCAATTCAGCTGAACGGCACTCAACATGTTCAGTCTAAACCCTAAACTGTACATCAATACATCTTTATTATTATTATTAATACTATTTTATTTGTTGTCTTTGTCTATTATAAATGACAGTTTAGACTTTTTTCTTTCCATTACATTTTTTTTTTTTTTTACAAATTATATCGTCAGCATAATAATTGTGAAAGTCGAACAGAAAAAATGGCAGGAATATTTCCAGGTTTAAATTTGAAATAGTTAAAAAAAAATTGTATATTGCAACGGATAAAAAAAGAAAAAGCTTTTGGAAAACATGCCCACAGCAGTGCAGGCGTCTTTTAGAAGAGTGCTGTAGTCTTATCTGTCGACTCAAATGAGATCATCTCAATGATGGAAGTGTGTCAGCAGACCCGACTGAAGACGTACCTCTCCTGTACATACAGCTTATCTCTCTTGGACGAGAGAGATAAGCTTTACTTTGGCATAAATATGTCACATAAATATATTGAAACATCTCAGTCTGCCTTGAATACCATAACAAGCTCTCATCTCCCCCTACACCATCGGTTTGGTGTAGAATGTGTCTGGAGATGTTTTTAAATGGGGGGACAGCAGCAGATGAGAAAAAAGGAAGTAGCTTATTGAATTTGACAGACTGAGAGTAGGATATGTCATGCCCTCCCTGTGGGTTCCTCTAAATCCTGTTTGAGTAATCATTTTATTCTGAAATATTTTGTAAGACAACTCTTTTGCCTCAGGAAATAAAGATAGATCACTTTTATTTGCTGCTGCTTCATCATGTCTCTTTCTTTGTCTCTGATTTTACTCTCTCCTGTGACAATTGGAGTAGGACTTGCAACATTTCTTTAAGATCAGTACATGTAAGTATGCATTTATTTATGCACACATATGTTTCCTTTCACCTGAGCCTGGCTTTTGTGTTGGTGATTATATGCATCAAGGAACAAATGGTGGAAACACTAAATCGAGATGCGGCTACAGAGAAGATGACAGGCAAAGTTAGTGAGAAAGGGGTAGGGGAGCTTCTGTGTGTCTGTTCCTTCAGATTTGGCATGAAACTGCGCCGTCTGTTGGGCTGAAATTATGATGTTATCAGGGTTTGACTGGCAGACTGATAGATGCACAGTTTGCATCTTAGACATTATTACACCTGCTCCAGGTCTGATAGATACATACTCTTTATGCACTCCCACACATTCACATGTCTCGACGGTTTGAGCTGGAGAGCAAATTCTCTCACTGTTGGCACCAGAAATCTCATGAATCTTTGATACTAAAGATACTTATGGTAGCATAACATGGTACACTGCAAAGGCCTGTTCACACCAAGAACTCTTTTAGCATCCACACCAGCGGATGAAATTGTTCTATTTATTTTAATCCTTATTCTATTCTGCTTGTCTGCTGCTTTCAATGCTCAAGTTCGTTACAGCAGGATGCATTCTGATTGTTTCTATTGTTCATCAGCTGGATAAAATCATTCTGAAAGGGATTGTAATATTGTTAGTGCCGTTATCATTATAGTTGTGGTGTGAACTCTTCAATTCTTTAATATTGAAAACGATTTTTAGACATTTAGAACTATGCCTACTCTTTTATGAGTACTGTGCCACGCCCACGCCCTCATTGGTGCTTGCGTCACGTACAGTGCATCGATTGGTTGCAGCAGTTGCCGCAGAGCAACCAATAGGCGCGCAAGCTGCCTCGCCTACGTCTGCTCTGCGTTTTAAATTCATGCAAAATAAGGATAATATTTTGGCTTCAGTATTCTTGAGTATTCAGTATTCTTCATCCACACAGTCACAAAGAGCAAGTAACACTATTTTCTTCTGCAAAAGTCATGTAGTTGTATTTTTCAAGTTGCTAGTGGGCCAAAAGTTACATAGTGTACCTTGAAAGAGTGTCTTTGGTATTTAACCAAGTAAATTTACTGATAGCATCACTTGTGCAGTTTTTTCAAATGCATGTACTTGTTTGTGTACATGTATTTGTGTACAGAAGATATTGATTATGTTATGATACAGCACAGTGTTTCACTTTAGTCTCACGAGCTGCAAAAGGAATAAAGCCAAATTTATCAGTGTAACAGGTATTAAAATATGATGTTTCATCAAACAGATATGACATTTCAATAATATCTCTATAGAGGGGAAAGATTCAGCTGTGGGTTGTCATTATCTATATGCTCTGACTGTAAGCCACAGAGCAGCAGTTCAATAATGAAGTCTGCGAGGAATGTCCTGCTACTGAGCGAGAGTGTTGAAATCCTCCCGGAGACCAAGCAACTATCACACCGACAGCTTAGGTGAGATTCCCCATCTCCAGCTTAATTGAAATGCCAAAAAAGAGCTGTCGTACATGTGTGAGAATGACAGGAACAATTTTTCAGCCCCCAATTTTTTGCCTTTGCGCCTGCGGGAGCGATGCTCAGTGGTGGTGGCTGACATAGGCCTCGCTTTATTCCCAACAGCCGATCCCTGGGCTGGGAGTTTGGGACCTGTGGATGAAATAACCCCTATGAATTTCCAAGTCAAAGAATTAGCATTCTTGTTCTGTGTTCTGGGAGTTACTTAAAGGAAATTTACATTTGAGCTTAAAACACTGCCTGGCTGTCAACTTTTCAGCTTTAAATTTACATATGAAAAAGAGGACATGATCAGAAAGGATAGTGTGCACTGCTGGGAAATGATGTTGTGTGGCACTGAAAGGTTGAGCCTGTCAAATTTTTTTTGGGAAAGTTGTGAAGTTAATTCTAAAAGTTGTTAAGTCATTCTAGGGATGTTACTATATATATTTTTTTTAACTGGAAAACAAGGCTAAAATAACGATTACAGTGCTAATGAATGCTTCTGTAATTAACTTGATTGTATTATTTTCATTCCTGGCAATTTTCAATGAATGGTGAAACGATTGAGTTATTAAATGGGACGTTCCACAGGGTTCAGTTCTGTTTGATTTACTCAACAACATGCAATTGAGCATATTTTACAAAAGGTCACATTAAATCATAACTGGCCAATACATTCAGCATTATGTACTAGTGTGATATAAAAAACACACCATTAAAGTTAAATATCAGTCTTTGACTTAAAAGTACATCAAGTACTTTGCCATTTAATCTTCAGAAGAATTACAAGAAATATGGCCCTATAACAGCCCTATTTTTCAGTTCTGGAAGTAAATGATTTTTTAAAGTTCTAGCACTTTAATGCCAGGATACTTGTGATATAGGATACCAGGCTATTTAATACTTGTGTAACTTTTTTCCATTTGTCAGTATGAAGTGGAGATTTAAGATATGCAATATATAGATCATTTCAGAGTGAGGAAATAATATAGTATAATTTATGTTTGGAACCTTAAACACTCTCAATACCATTGGCTGAGATGGATATTGTATTGCAATCCATTGCCAAAACAAAGTGTACACCAGAACACACCCATGCTTGTTGAATTTCATATCCATGGGCATGGAGAGGAAAGTTGGTCCTCCGTTTGCTGTTATAACAGCTTTTTAGTTTAACTTGGCATTTACTTCTTTTCAGAAGGTCAGACATTGATGTTCGCTGATGGGGTCTGGCTCACAGTTGACTGCTCCAGTTCATTCCAAAGGTGTTCAGTGAGGTTTAGATGTGGTCTTTCACACCAGACCCAGTAAACCATTTCTTTAAGGACCCTGTTTCATTCACAGAAGAATTGAAAAGTTCACTATTGTACTATAAATGTTTGTTTAGGGAGACTGTAAGGCTGTATGCCTGATGTTTGCATAGCCAAAGCCATTTATAAGAATGGGTTGTTCACATACCTTTGGCCATGTTCTGGATCTCAGATTTTCTAAAGTGCCATTTTTCTCTCCCCTTTTTGTGTGATGCAGATAGTGTTTGTTTGTGTGTGTGTGTGCTTGCTTGTGCAGCCAAGTCTGTGAACTGCGGTGATGTCTTGCCATGGCCCATTCATTCCAGACTCACGATTGCCTGCCAAGTGTCTCTCTGGAGCACCATTCCCCCTTTACATATGACCCTGCTAAATATCTTCAACTCCCCTCACAAATCTTTTGTAAAAAGACATGAAACTTCAAAAGGATGTACACACTCCCAATTTCTTGCGTGTGCGTGCACATACACCTCAGAGGATCGGAGTAATCCATGATACCAAATAGGCATTTGAATGTCTATTTGGTATCATGGGCAGAGAAAATGTCTGAGGAAGAAAGAATGTTGGTATATTTGGCTGCTCAGGAAGTCTGCGCTTTTGTGTGCTTGAGAGTGAGGCCATAGGGCCAACAGGGCTTGTTTAAATCTCTTTTAGCACACTGGACGGAATCAAACTGAGGTTAGAATTCAGCCTTTCTGCAGATTTGTGCTGCTGGATAGAAAAAGTGCTCTGACAGCTTAAAAGGCCCTTGATACGCAAGCTGTGAAAAATGTGCTATGCTGGCATAGAAGCTAGTAATGTGTGCTGTCTAGGTTGAGCACCTTTCCCACTGCAGTAAGTCTAACCCTAAAGCTATAATCAGCAATGAAGGATATTGGGAGAACAAATGTGGAAGACAGAAGCATTTAGAACAGACTAGTTAATCTGTCTACCAGTGCTATAAGCAGTTTATTCTGAAATTTCAGTATCTCAAACTTGTAAAATTTAAAGGTTCTCTGAGCGATCCTGGGTGTTGACGTTCGGAATATTTTCAAACAAATCGGAGGCTAGCTAGACCCTCCCTCCTCCGCATCTCATCTCCTCCCCCTCCCTTCCGTCCTTCCTGAAATAATTGTGAACGTGCATTGCTAGCTAATTATATCCTTGTGTGGGTTTGGTGAACATAAGCGTCAATTTAGAAGAAAAAAAAAACTATTTAACGTTACCCACCTGTCCAGCAAAAACAGAGCAACCTGAATGTCGGACCGGAAGCCCTTCTGCCGCCGGAGTTCTCGCCATCGTTCAAAAGCTTTGCTACCGATGTAAATTCGGAACTTCGCACGTTCTTTATCCGACTCCTTCTTCTTTTTAATTTGTTCCTCAGAACGACGTCTCTTTGGTCGTGTTTCGGCCATTTTTCAAACTTCCCTCTTATGCTTCTCTCTCCTTCACACACACACCCCCTTCATGTGCACGTGCACTAACCCCCCAGACCCACCCTCAAATACTTCTTGCTAGTGATTGGCTGGAACACTGTTTGTTAGGTTTCGTGGTCCGGGTGAGACATGATTGTTTTTGTTGCCGTTTTTGGAGCCTGTGGTGTCTACAGAGACCGCTTTTTTTACAGTGTGTTTAGGGGACAGGCAGCTAGCCGATAGTGAGGAGACGTTTGATGTATGTGACAAAAAATGTTTTGGCCCCACATCGCTTAGAGAACCTCAACGCATTCTCACCCCAAGGCGTCACCTTTGACCATGCTTCAATATTTGACGTTTTAGGCGCCCTTTAGCGTCACTTACACGAAAAGGAAAGCGTCAGTTAGAGGACGCGGTTAGGTTTAGGTATGGGGTGGGGGTAGGGTACACGCGATCCTAGGGCGTCATCTAACTGACGCTAAAGGGCGCCTAAAGCGTCAGATATTGAAGCATGTCCAAATGCTTCCCAAGGCGTCAGTTAGGTGACGCCTTGGGAGTGAGAATGGGCTGAGAACCTTTAATATACAACATACATTTTCTTTAAATGTCTCATCAAGACTGCAATAATTTGATAAAATACAGTAAAACAGTGATATTTTAAAATTCTCTTTGAATGTATTTTAAAATGTCATTTCCTGTGATGACAAAGCAGCGTTTTCAGCAGCCATTACTCCAGTCTAGTGTCATATGATCACATGAATTTTTAAATGATGATTTGGTGCTCAAGAAATGTATTATTTTGATCACAATTGAAAACAGTTGTCCTAATATTGTATGGAAGCCATGATACATATTTTTCAGGATCTGATGATAAATAGAAAGGTTAAAAGAACAGCATTTATTTGAATGTGTAACATGTCATTTTGGATCATTTTAATGCATCCTGAAAAGAAATCCTAATATATAAAGAGAGAAAAAAAAAGGTCAGCCTTCTGCTTTCTTTTATTCGATGGTTGGACTTTCCTATTGTTTTATAATTAAAAAGTTTCTCTTCATTTGTAATCTTTAAATCTTGATAGAGGTGTGTGTGTGCCAAAACACATCGAACTAGTTTAAATATAATTCCCCCATCAACAAGTGCTGGTCAATTCACTTTCTTGAGTAGTTTCATAGCATTTCCATGGACGCTGTTTGTTAGTGAGGTTGCACTTGACTTGTTCTCTGTTCTGTTTCACAGTCCATATTGCCCTTTTCACACTGCAAATAACTCTGCTAGGCCTTCCTATATCTTCAAACTCTGTCTGTTTGAGTCATATCAGGCCACCCAACCCATTGCCGATAGACAATTGGCTTGAAACAACTGCACTCTATCTCAGCAAGCATCAAACATTCTCTATCAACTGCTTAAAAGCCATCCTGCTCAGCCACCTCTTGTAGACACTCATTCATCAACATCCTGTCTGACAGCCACATCTTATGAACACCAGTTAGCTCTCATCGCCCTCCCCAAATGGCCTATCTAACAGCGCCTCAGCTGTTAGACCCTCCAAACTGTGCGACTGCATTCTCATATCACATCTCTCCACACATACACACAGTCTGTGTAATGGGCTTGAGGAAACATACTGGGAACACTATCAGTGTTTTTGGAGACAAAGAGAGATGACAGCTCTGATAGTGAACGAGAGAGAAGGACATGATGATGTAGAGTGAGGGAAACGAATGCGAAGAGCCAGAAAACAGCATGGAAAATTCAAATTAAGGGAGGTGGCGTGCTGTAGTGGAGAGATGGATGGCAACAAAGTGGTTGGGAGGAACGATATGGAAAAATGATAAATACAATTTCACAAAAGAGAGAGGGAGAGACGGCATGAGTCCCAAGCTAAGCAGCATGCCAGCAGTGAGGTATTTTTCAGATTGATTACAATGGGACACGCAGAGCTCTCAAACTGCAAAATGGCTGATTGGGCGAAATTGGAATGGAATTCAGGGCTAAAAAAAAAAAAACTAGCCTCAAATTGTGCTATACTCCTTACTGCGTCCTAAAACATTTTACCTGGCAAAAAGGGACTTGTCGTGGAGTGTGAGCCAGGCTAATCAGACTCATGAAGCTTTGTGAGCCGTGAATGTTTAAAGGGCCAAAGAAGACTCTCTGTGAAAAGCAGGGAACCGAACCTGAGTGCTCTTAGACAATCAGGCCTCAGTTAGAAGCATATGCTCCATTCACATCATACAAGTCCAAAACAGCTATTACCCTTGTTTTTTTTTTAGATAAAGCTTTGATTTTGGGACAAAGTCCTAATAATCACTCCAGCCTAAGCATGCATTAGAATAACAATAACTGTTTACATTTATTTTTATGAGTAATTAAATGCTCAAACAAATTCTCTGGATCTGGAACATTAATTAAGATGCTCCGCACAGCAGAAAAACAACATTTAATAAGAGACGCTGGGGCAAAAGTGCATTTGTAACTGAATAAAGATGCCATGAAAGTAAGAGTACCAGTGCTGATCATACACTTCTTGGGGCCCTAAGCAAAACTTTGTGAATGGGCCACCATCGAAATCTATTCAGAGCAGTTTCACTGTCAACAAAGCATGCCAGTTGAATTTCAATAACCATTAGTACTAATGACTATGGTATGGTATGAAAAAAGTATATAAAAAAATAAAGAAAAACCCTTTAAAACATTAAAAGTCCAGTAATTTTTTTGGGGTTAAAAATGATCTAAAATACATTTGAGAAAATACATAACTAGCAAGTGTTCAAAACTATCTGCTTGTCTTAGCTCGATTCAAAACGGTAAGCTTGTAATAATGTTTTTAATTTCAGTGGTACTGGTACAGTAGATTTCCGCAGGGAATTCGAGCATGTCTTTGTGTCATTACGTCTTATATGTACACATAAAGGAGTCTCGGCTAGTAAGCTTTATTGAGTGTGAGGATGTTGAAGGTGGAGATTTCTATTCTTTTTCTCACAGCACTTGATATAATTAAACGTATTAATTTGATGGCTGATCCAGAAAGTGTCAAACGACAATCACCAGTGACAACTGGAGATTCACCCACTGTAAAATGCAAAAACTTTGGACTGAGAGTTTCGAAAACGAGACTGCAACCGGGCATGTGAAAACAAGGATACATATTGGAAAGGCATTGCATGGAGCCACGCGTTGTTGATGATGTTAAAATGCGTGTTTGGGCTGTTTTAACTGAAAGAAACTTCCTTGAACACATCAGTGCCATTGTTTTGTCTCAAGATGCACACAAACAATGTTTTTTTTTCTAAGTCACATTTATAAAAGCTACTTAAATGCCCTAATTGAACTAAAACCTAATCTGGCTTAGTCTAAGACCTGTCTGTGAAACTGGGACATTATGGTTTATTTAGCAGTCATTCACTTAGATCATAGATGGTAAAGACCATTTACAGCTCATAAAGGGAGTTTACCAAGGAAATACATGGTCAAAAACTTTTTTTTTTTGATAATTATTGAAAACCAGACTCCATAGAATCTTGCTGCACTGGTTTGGTTCTGATTGGGCAAAAATCCTACAGGATTAGTTTCCAAAATTGTTTTTTCCAAAAAAATCCCAGAATACCCGACTTGTGATTTGGTCTGCCTGCATGATCACTTTTAGGGGAGAATGCTGATCCCTGGAAATGTTAACAATTGCAATAGGGTTTAAGTGATTGAATCCCTAAAAAAAAAACATTTCCACATGACTCTATTAAAGTTGACTCTGCATTTAAATTAGCATGTTATCAAAACAATGTTTACATTACATGGTGGTATATCACTTAAGTAATCTTTGAGAGCAAGAAGCCGACTCACCTTAGGTATTTTGTGTATAGGGAAAACTGGTACTAAGTACGTCCTCTGCGAGGGGCGATTGATTTCAAGTCTTTATTGGAGCAGGAGCGGGTACTAAATCACTGCTAATTAATATGCTAAAACTTTCCCTCTAGCACTTATCTCTCACCACAGAAGCCTGGGCTTAATTATTTAATTACTAAAAGGAAAAACCCACCCTGACGGGCAGCTTCGAAAGCAAGACAAAATAACCTTTTTAAAGCAGTGAGGGCATATTTTAACATATCACATATAGCCTCTCTTACTGATTAATACTTTTTAAAGAGTATATATATATATATATATATAATTTAACTAATATGGCCATCAAAATAAAACAGTGTTATTGCATTTAATTAAATTAATATAAATAAATGTAATTTTTAGTAATATTTAGAGTGGGATCTGATATTCATTTGCATTTTATAGGCAACCTGTGCTTTTATTATTTAAATCACATTAAATTTGTAGCTATAACAATTCTCACTACCATAATATTATTTTATTCATAATAGTTTTCATAATATTTAATATTTATGCAATTCAGTTATTACAAATAATACAATGCATTCTCACCCCAAGGCGTCACCTTTGACCATGCTTCAATATTTGACGTTTTAGGCGCCCTTTAGCGTCACTTACATGACGCGATCCTACGCGGCTGACGCTAAAGGAAAGCGTCAGTAAGAGGACGCGGTTAGGTTTAGGTCTGGGGTGGGGGTAGGGTACACGCGATCCTAGGGCGTCATCTAACTGACGCTAAAGCGTCAGATATTGAAGCATGGTCAAATGCTTCCCAAGGCGTCAGTTAGGTGAGAATGGGCTGAATAATAATGTACTATAGTTACGTCCATGCATGGCTTGGGCTCTGGAACCACACTCCTTGAGAGAGGATGGAGGATGGACCCATGGATGGACTAACAATGCAGATTTATTTTCCCAGCCACCTTTGATCATATTTGGCAAATACAAGTGGTGTCATTAGACATTTCCCCTGTACAGCTTCTTTGAATAAAATTTTGATGCAATATGTTGGAATACAATTGGTTTTGAGGTAATGCTTTGGTTTTTCTACAGTTCTTGCTCTTTATCGACAACTAACACATTCATGCATTTCAAATGAATGCCCATATTCAACAGAATGAAAGGATCTGTCAGGTGGACCAACCTTCCATGCCATGCCAATCACCTTATCTAACCGCAGCAGTAGCTAGAGAAAGCAAAATCTACTACTCAACATTCAAGCATCTTATCATCTCAAAACATCAGGCCTCTCTCCTCATCCTGTACCTGAGTAAGTCCAAATAAATGTAGCAAACCTTGAACATGCCTGTTTTTCTATCAATGTCATTTGCACTTCAAAGTGTGAGGAATGTAACCAGAGAGCGAGCGTCTTGTTGTCATATATGTTCGGGCGACTCGTTTGTTTGCCCCGCGGTTGTCTCTCTTTGGTTTGTGTCTGGCTGTGGTTAAACCTTTAGCATTGATGCTGCCTTATCTCTGCCACTCAGAGACTCTGCTCTCTCTCTCTCTCTCTCTCTCTCCAGAGATTGCCCTGGAGAAGGATGTGGAAGGCACAAATGAAACTTTAAAAGAAGAGAGGGAAGAAAAAGAATAAAAGTAACATCATAGAAGTATTGTAAAAAATATTATAAAGGTCACTGAGATGTGAGTGTAAAGTCTGAGGTATAAGTTAACTCATGCAGCACTTATAATGACAACAAATACTGAGACAGTGTGGAAATTGGTAGATGTACATTTATTATAATTTTCACAATATCTGGATAAAAAGGTTTAGGGGTAGGTTCAGGATGAGTACAATATAGTTACCATATATTAACCATTCTTCCTTAGGTAGGTGCAAGTCTCAATCAAAACTTGAATGACTTTTTTCTTTTTTTGAATGAATCACAGAACAAATGTCCTGGTTGCTCTTTTTACAAGATGGTTTTTGCATCCTTTTTTTAAAAGCCTGAAACTATTTTACATTGTGGCACTTCATATGAATTCATGTGAATTGTGCGAACATAAGATAATAAAAAGTAATCATGAAATTCCTCCCCTGAACATAACTGTAACCGGGGTGTAAGGAGATAATATAAAATGCACAAATTCACAAATTTTGCACCAGTTCACCAAAACCTAAAATTGCCTTAAGAAAAGAGTGAATGGAATAATTCTTTGAAATGTCTCCCTTTGTTTCACACACACGCGCGCACATGCACACAAAAAACATTTATGGGTTTCAAATGACATAATAATAATAATAATAAAATGGGTTTTTCATTTGGAATCTTTCTAGATATGGATATTCGCAAGATTTCCTCAGTTCCCCTTGTTTTGTTGTTTGACATATTAATTTAGTAATGTGCATCCTGTCCCTTTACATCACCTCGTCCTTGGCTCCACTTCTGCATCATCTCCTGTCACATTTTAATTTTCCTCTTTGTCTTCCCTCGGCTTGTGCATGTTGCCACAATCCCAGTTGGTGTTGGCATTCCCTGTAGAAACACATCCAAATCAATTGGCAAACCTCTTCACTCTTTCACTCTTTTCTTGGTCCGTCTCTTCTCGTTTCTTGTCTCCCCGCTATATATCAGTGTGAAATTTGTGAGGAAATAAACAAAAGCACATTTACAAGATTTGTAATGATATAAGTCAAAACATGTAAAACACATTGAAACACTGAAAGATCCTTATCGACAGTGAGAAGCATGGGCTAGTAAGACAGAGACCTCTGATAAATAAGTCTCATCTTGTATTTGGGAAGATAAAGAAAAAAATTGGTATCCTGTTGGTATATAGAAAATAGTATTTCAAAACATATGTTATGGTGTAATCAAACCTTTTATGAGTTAGGAGCCATGGGACAATCCCTTAAAATGTCCATTTAAACAGAACTCGAGGAGAAAAAGTCTGTAAATAAATGCTTTTTTTTAAATTAAAAGAACGGTCCTATCGACCTTCAACTCAATGGAGGGATCAGACTTGATTTACTGTAATTGAACAAAAGTAGAAATAAAATTGTTTTTCTTCAAACTGCTGCTAGATCATTGTTGATTTAATTAAACGAATCAAGAAATCTATAGTGTATTTTATCAAAAGAAAAAAACAAAGAAAATGAAGGGAAAGTGTAATATGAGAGGAAAGAAAAGAGATGGCTCATTTGATCAATATCTCCCTGCCTCGAATTCAATCAGCAGGGATAAAAAGCAATTCTCCATATCGCCCAAAATAATACATCTCCATTACTCCAAACAAACTCCCATCATAGCTGACCCTTCGTTCTGTACACACCTCACACACTCCTTATTTTTTTTCCATCTTTTTAATCTGCACAGAGATACAGGAGAGGAGGGGTAGAGCTGATGGTCGATCAAGTCATGATAAATCAATCATCCCAAAATAACCCATGCTTTTGGCACCCGTCATTTCATTTTCCTTACCCCAGAGCTTTTTGAGGGGAATATCGGTTTGATAACATTGCTTCAGATTTACAAGAATGTTAGCTGTAAAATATGAAGAAAGGATGTGCATCCAAATGTTTGATTCACAAATGGAAGTTGCAGCTGCTGTCCATCACTCAAAGGCATAATCAAGAAACCAACAGCAATAACAGCATGACACATTCAGTATTCCCTGAGAGCATGTCTCTGTCAGGAAAACTCAGATGATTCGCATAGTCTCAAAATACTGATTCATGTTAGAGGCTGGTAGAAAATAACTGCGGGATATGAAGGCCCTGTGGGGAAGGTTTTGCTTATCTCTGCCTGTTTAAAATTCATTTCACTCCAACACACGTTATCCGTTTCGTATACCTTTAGAGGCTTTTCATTATGATTTAAATTTAGAGTATATTTAGAGGGCAGCACTACATGTAGATTAAAGATGGCTCTAGTTGCATAATGGCTCACCTTTGCCAAATAAATAATAATAAGGGAATAATGTTCCTTAAATAGGGACCAAAGAAGACTATAAGTAAAAACAACTTTGGCGTTTACATTTAAGGAGTGCTGGGGCCCTTGCAAAAAATAACTTTATTCAAGTGTCCTCAAGTAGCTCCTCAAAAATATAGGGGAGAGCGGGGCACAACCTAACGCATTTTGGTTTTGGCTCAATTAATTTAAAAAAATAATTAGGTTAGATTCATATTTTTTTACACAAGCAACATACACATCTCTGCTACAAATGAACACTTAAAGTTTTTTTCTTGGACCTACCATTTTCGTATAGTTGCACTGAAAGTGACAGAAGTGCAAATGTTACAACTGCGGGGTTAATTGTAACAGACAGAGGGGTTAGTTGTAACACTTGTGTGTAACACATAATTCAGTACTATTTTATTTGTATAGTTTGATGTTGTTTGTGCATCTCTATAGACAGATATCCATGCATCCATCCCTCATCCAATCATCCTTCTATTGTGGATCAATATCCTGGATAGAGACATAGAAAAGGGCTGCACAGTTTTGCGATAAATAATAATAAATAAAATTATAAGATATTGTAATTGCAATTAAATTAGATTTGTGTGTGGCAGCTGCATGTACAATTATTATTAATAATAATAATAACAGTAATAATAATACAAATGAGCTTAAAATAAAAATTTAAAGGGTTTATTGCATTAAAAATGGGCCATATTTGTTATCATTAATAGTACACTAAATTTTAAACATTTTAAATTCCAACATTTTTTGTGAAAGTCCAACAAAGTTAAATGTATACTCAAACCTGAAAAGCTGGGCTCTGTTTTCGTTTGATTATCATTGTACACTTGGCGGCTTAGTTGTAACACTGTGTTACAACCAACCCCGCTGTGTATTACATATTTTAAACCTAGCTAACAGTCGCTAGGAATTGCTGACATGTTTCAAAACAGTGCTATGTTTGAGCCAACAAGACAGTGATTAAGGCAATATAAAGTTAGATTTGGAAACACCCAACTCAGAAACCAAAAAATAAAAATGTACTTGTATGGAAACACTCTTTGTCCAGTATCTTCACAAAATATAATCAAAACTTTCTGCAAATTCGCGGGAGACCGTCTTCTGGCAGCAAGAGAAAAAGAGCGTAAAGACAACCTGCTTGATCCTGACTGACTATGTAAAAGGTCCGTGTTACATTTAACCCCGCGTTAGGTTGTGCCCCGCGATCCCCTACTTAAAATTACACTTAAGTATAGTTGACTACTGACAGACAAGTCTATGTATATTTGGCTTGTATTTGTACTCAATATTTAGTTTGATATATGCGTTAGTTTGAGATATGCATCTAAATTAAAAGATTCAGATTCTGTAGCTACATGTTAATCACGCCTTTTTATGAAATATTTAGTTTAGCCGTGTAAAATGTATTTGACTTTGTTATAGCTACAAATTAGTGAGTATTTTAGTTATTCTACACTCTAAAAAATGCTGGGTTGTTTTAACCCAACTTTGGGTCAAATATGGACTAACCCAGCCGTTGGGTTAAATTTTTACATTACATTTTTAACCCAACATTTCGGGTTTGTCCATATTTGACCCAAAATTGGGTTAAAACAACCCAGCATTTTTTAGAGTGTAGTTAGTCTTCACAGTGTAGGCTACATTTGTTTAGGGATCTTTACCCATAACGATCTTCAAAAATGTATAGTTATGCTTAAATATTTGTTTTCAATCTCGACACCAATCAACCGGCATAATATCTGTAGTATTCCCTATCGATTTCAAAGAGATTAATCTTGTAGTACAAAAGGAGCTAGCCTAGCATATAGCCTCTAGATGTTACATTTATCACTCACTGACAGATGAGGCTCTGGGATGTTGCAGAACAGCATTTCCCCCCTTTTAAAGATTCTTTTTCATTTGTCATGTTTATCTCCACATATTGTGAATATTAGCTACAAGAAACAAAGCAGTTCAGACCACCTTAGAAGCTTTTATGTAGCATTGTGATTTAACATTTTAATGAAACCAAACCAAAACAAAGCATTGTTTACTTGTCAATGCTGATTAAATGATAAATGATAGCCCAGTGCTGCTATACAAGACTTTTTGTCATGACTGAACTGAGGTTATTCGTTTCCAGCTTTACTCCTTAACAACTGCTCGAAATAATTCCTGCCCATGGCTCTCCAACTCCTGCCAGCATGAACAGAGGGGTGTGACAAACCCTTTTAATTAGATTCCCAACCTCAATCCTCCAATGCTTAGCTGGAGACATGGAAAACAGACCATAATCTGACAAGCGTCTGGAGGCAGATGGAGAAATCCAGTCTTCCCTTTAGAGGAGCAGTGAAATGTGGCGCATTTCCTCGCTCTTCACTCCCTATTTACCCCTCTATCCCGTCCCAATCTCCCTGATGAGAATGCAGCGGGATCCAGGAAGGAAAGGGATGTGTGGCTACACACAGCTGCAGTCCTTGTGGTCCACGAGCACCAAGGCAAAACCGCAGTGTGCCGAGAAGGTTCTAATTCAATGGACACGAGACAGGCTGAAACATACACCACCTCACGGGGAAATGGCACATTTGGAATTCAATATAAACTGACATAAAACTAACATCTATACTTATTAATAAAACATATAAATATATCCAGTTGGGGCTGGCCTGTCGGAAAAACTTTTTACGGCACTTTGTCTGGGGGGTTGATATGCTGTGCTTGAGGGGGTTCCTGACATCTGGTGCTTGGGTGTGTGAGCAATTGCTATAATGCACTCACTCCATTA